TACCCATAACTTGTCTCAGCCTTACTCAATCACCAACTAAGCTGGTCTACCATAGGTGCCCTAGGGCGTTGAGGGTCTAGGGTTGAAGATTCTGGAGAGCTTGGACTGGCATAATTAGGGTTTAGGGTTTAAGGCTTCGGGTTCTGGATTCAAGGTCCTATTTGCAAGACCACCGCCAAAAGTCTGTTTTAAAAAAGTATCCGCTCTTCGACGCCCGAAGCCCTCTCAGATCATGCAAGCACAGCACTTAGGAAGTTTCAAGCCCCAAGCCACAAACCTGAAACCCCAGATCCCCAAATCCGAGGCTCTTGAACCCTAGAAAACCCTAAACCCTTAACCCCAAGCCCTAACAGCTAAGCCAAATAGACACTGAACGCGCAGCAGCCGCGGCATGCATGTGAAGAGAGCCGATTTAGGGTTCAAGTTTAGTGTTTAGGGTTTAAGATTTAGGGTTTAGGGTTTTAGGGCGTATTTAGGCTCTAGTTTGGGGTTTCGGGTGTAGGCTATAACCCCAAGGCAGGCTCCCCGAGATCCTCCCGGCATGTCTGTGCTCTTCCCTTCGGGATGGTGGGCGCCGGGGGTCCTGCGGTTTGAAGGGGTTTAGGGGTTTAGGGGTTCGGGGTTCAGGGGTTCAGGGGTTTAGGGGTTTAGGGGTTCAGGGGTTTAGGGGTTCAGGGGTTCAGGGGTTCAGGGGTTCAGGGGTTCAGGGTTTAGGGGTTGAGTTTTTGGGGGGTTGGGGGTTTGGGGGATTGCGGGTTTAGGGGCTCTGGGGCTTGAGGGTTTAGCTGGTTTAGGGGCCCGAAACCGCAAACCCAACACCTTCAACTTGAGTTGAAGGGCACTGGGAGCTACGGTGCTGCAGAGCTTCCTGGCTTCAGGGCGTTGGCTTTCGGGGGTCATGGCTTAAGGCTCTGGTGCCTTGGGGGGCTTCGGTGCTTCGGTTTTCAGGATGTTCAGGATGCTGGGCACAGGGGCTGCAGGGCTAGGGTTTAGGGTTTAGGGTTTAGGGTTTAGGGTTTAGGGTTTAGGGTTTAGGGTTTAGGGTTTAGGGTTTAGGGTTTAGGTTAGGGTTTAGGGTTTAGGGTTTAGGGTTTAGGGTTTAGGGTTTAGGGTTTAGGGTTTAGGGTTTAGGGTTTAGGGTTTAGGGTTTAGGGTTTTAGGGTTTAGGGGTTAGGGGTTAGGGTCTAGGAGATAAGTTCAAGGTTGAGGATTTGGGGACTTGGGGTCTCTGGGTGTGTAGGATTTCAAGCCTGGAGGTTGAACCCTAAACCCTAAACCCTAAACCCTAAACCCTGAACCCTGAACCTTAAACCCTGAACCCTGAACCCTAAACCCCCTTGGTGGGGCGGTGCCTTGCAGAGGAAGGGGTCATGGAGCCGGTGGCCGCATCGGTCTCGGGGGAGGCGGGAAGATGCTTCGAGCTTCTCTAGGCCGAGCTTTGGGGATTTGGGGGTTTGGGGATTTGGGGATTTGGGTTGTTTGGGGCTTTAGGGGTTTTGTGGTTTTAGGGCTTTGTGGTTTTAGGGGTTTTGGGTTTTGGGGTTTCAGGTTCAGGGATCAGATGGCTGGGCCCAGGATTTAGGGTTCAGGGTTAGCGTTCAGGGTTTAGGGTTTAGGTAAAGTTTCGGGGATAGAGGGGGCACGCAGAAGTCTTGAGGCTTTTGTGGGCCTATAATCGAGGCTGCAAGTTTGGATCCGCTGAGGTCAGGGCGCTCCGATCCAGGCCTCGGGAGGCCTGCACTGCGGAGTTCAGGGATTCGGGGATTTAGGGTTTAGGGTTTAGGGTTTCGGGTGTAGGGCTCAGGGTTTCGGGTTTAGGGTATTTAGGGTTGGGGCCTCCTTGTCACCGACCCAGTGCCTCTTTGTTAAGCGCAAGTCGGCTGTCATTTTGAGCCGCACGTCTTTGCTTTGTTTTGAGGGGAGACGGTAGTATAGCGGACCCCTCACTGCAAGGAAACCCTCGCTTGCGATTTGGCATTTCCCCCTTAGAATGTCCTTAACTTGAAAGGCACGACGACATCCGTATGGAGCATTTTGGCGCACAAACTTAGGGTCCAGGCCTCATGGCCCGGCTGTCAAGACATATCCACACCCTTTGGGGTCTAGGATCTAGGGATGAGCGTGCACATGCGCGGAGCTAAACATTTTAACCTAGTGACTTCGTGGGTTCTGACTTGAGTGGGACTGGCCCCCTTTTGGGAAGTTGGGGTGGGTGGGGGGGGGGGCTTGGCCCAAACCCTACACCTCAAACCCCCCCCCCCAAAAAAAAAAAAATCGATCGCAAAATGAAAACAGCTCTTTCAGCGTGTGGGTTGTGGCTTCGGTCTTCATGGGGTTTTTGCGTCCGGACTGCAACACAAAGAAAGATTTAAGGCTTAGGGTTTACAAGGTTTACGGGTTAGGGTTTAGGGCTTATGGTGGAGAACAATGCTAAGCCCCAAAAACATGGGCCCCATGGCAACCCTGAACGCTAAAGCCTGAGTCCCAAGTTCTGCATTACTTAACGCTGCACCCTAACAACCCTGCAACCCCTACACCCTAAAACCCTAAAATGCGACAACCCGATCTGCACCTCGCCGCCGGCTGTCGTGTGGGGGCGTGGCCCTTGGCTCAGGCATTGCTGAATCTTGCTAAGGCTGTGAAGGAACTTAACTAAGTTCACCACAAGGGATAGAGGCAACATACAGAGCTTCCCTAGCTAACACAACAGGGTTGCTAGAGGTATACATAGTAAACAGAGAAGTTTTCCTGATTTGTTAAGTTGCCACTGAACCCGACCCCTAAGCTGAAATTCTGGAACTTATAGGGCCTATAAGGTTTAAATACAAGGTCTATAGGGCTTTTACGGGTTGCAAGGCTTTACGGGTTTTTAGGCTTAGGGTCTATATTGTAGGGTTTTGTCTTTAGAGTGTACGGGGCTTACAAGGCTTATGGCTTATAGTAGGCCTCCATATAAACATGTGGAGAGATAAGGGGGGTTTTTGATTTCATAATGATTCCGGGAATCCTTGAATACCTCAGAGTGTCCTGTATATTTGATTGGATATATGAGATTTTGAGTGGTTTTTAGAATAAATTGAAAACCAAACTTATCAAACTTATGAAATATTCCGAGACTGTCAATTGAATTCAATGGAATTCATGGTTGGTTCTCTACCAGCCCCCAAACATTTTCAAATGGTTTTAAAAAGTTTGGGGGTTCAGCTGCCGTTCGTTCTGAAACCCGATTCGGCACCCCTCCTCCCCAGTCGGCTATTCAAGATTCCCAAGCCCGATGGAAAGTTCCTTTGACCGTTTCGGGCCTGCGTAAGCTCAATCTAGGTTCAAACAACAAGCATTTTGGCTAGTTTGTCGGGTTTGGAAACCATTGAAAGGTCACTTGTGCTTTCACAAACACCCAATCTTGATCCCAAAACATGGTGGTTTTCGCTAGTGTCTTTTGAGGCTTTTCGGCAAGGAGATGTGAGAAATTGGGTTCAGCCGCTGCGTTTTTTGGGGTTTTACATGCAGCGACTTTCCGCCCCCCACGAAAATTTAGAGAATGGGCTCAGTCCTGAAAGGATAGTGCCCCTTATATATAGAAGCGAAAGTGCTTTTTGCCTATCCGAATGCCCTGGAAGGTGTCCAGACATTTGCTGCCTCACCCATCTCTTGATGAGACTCCATTTGGCCTCAATGGGATTTGTGGTGAAACCGTTTTGATTTTTAAATTTCGCCCTCACTGTGGTTGACAATTTCGTGCGGCAAGTCGTCCGTGGTGATCTTCTTGTTCTTCCTAAAAGCTTTCATGGCCGACACTGTTGCTTTCCATTTGTCGCTCACAAAGACATCGTGCTCTCGCATCCCTAGACTCTCGATGTTGTGTAGCATCTCCTTGCGCCCGCGTGGCTTGCCATCGAAAGAGTCATCCGGGTGTTCAAGGACTCGAAATAGAACGTGAGTTTGCACATGACCTTCGAGCACCGCACCCCATAACCAAATCTGGTCGCGCTGAGGCCGACCATGTTTGGATAGGACGCTAGGCTTGCGTTTGTTGAGATGAGTTTCATCCGCTATGAAGACACGGCCTGGACCCTTGCATTTCAGGCCAGGCCTTTTCAACACTGCTTTTGCAGATTTCAGGCTTGGCCTTTTCAGCACTGCCGGCGAGGATGTCCCCAAAGATGGTTGCGAAGACTTCGCTGACGCGGGCCTCTTAGAAGATGTACTGCACGACGCAGGTTTTCGGAATAGCGAAGGCGAAGTTGGCATCAGGGCTTGGAAAATAGGACTCTCGAAGCCATTTCGAGTGCGAAGGTCGAACCATGCACTCACTGTTTCTTGGAATGACGATGTCCAACGGTCGATGCTTCGGTGCGCCAGCGAATGTACCTCTCGAATGATTTGTTGACGAGTATATTCTTGCGTCCACATGAATACGCAGTCGAGCTTGGCAAACCACAAGGCTGATCCGACGCCCCGAAGAAAGCCAATGGAGGCAGCTGCGTATTCTTGAGCATCATATTCATGACACCCTTGATTGTAGCGAGGACCATACCATTTATAGACGCCTGCCTTGACGCATAACTTGAAAGACGACGAACAATTTGTGCACGTACGAGATGAAGGCACAAGCTTTAGAGCTTGGCGCGCCAGCAAGGCTCGCGTAGCTATTGTGTCTGGTAGATTCCCGCGCGTCTGAATGTGACAATGTTTCACCACGCAGAGAAACTCGGTCCGATTGAGGAGATCTGCTGTCAGGACCGCTTCTCTAAAGGCGACCCAATCACTGTAAGACGCCATAAGGGATAATTGGTGTTTCGGTGTTTTTCTCACGCGAGGTGCGACGGTACACACGTCTGTGTGTGTGTGTGTGACTTGACGCAGACGTGTACGCGTGTTCCGCGTGTTCTGTGTGCAATATGAGGCTCAAGATGAAGCGACTCGGGAAAAGCGATTCAGGAGCTACAGTTCCTGAACTCAAAATGCTTTGGAGTCGTCAGGGTTTACTGAAGAGCTACTCAGTCATCCGTGTCCATTCGGTCCATAAGTTCCTCCAGCTCCTGCTCCAGCTCATCCGGCTGGTGCCCTAATTCTGGCATGATGTCGTCGTCAGCATCGTGTTCCAGAAAATTTGGATTTAGAGGAGCTGATGCAGAGGCTGGTGCTGCGATCCTAGCACGCTTGGGCATTGGCGAGGTAGAGCTGGCACTGTCAGACTTCTTGGGCGAAGGTGATTCCAGGTTGATGGTCTGGAGCGGAGACTTCTTGAGCGTTTGGAATGCGTGAGACACCTGGGAATTTCTTCTCAAAATACGAACTCCCTTTATACATTTTCCCTATTTTTCAGAAGCCCCCACCTGTTCTTGCTTGACTGTCGCACTTAGCTCAGCAGGAGGAAGAAGCGACGGATGTGACTCCACAGCAGTCCTACCAGAGTAGTGAACTCAGTATACGAATAGACAGCTCTCAAGAGTACTCACACTTTAAGCATTAAGGTTGAATTGTAAAAAAAGTCCTTTCGGTGTGGACGCCAAAGAGACTTGAACCGAGCACTGTGGAGCTGCGAGGAATGGTTTCACCGTTGAGTACACGACGAAGAAGCTCTTGGGACCACACGAGATCTCTAAAGTACTCTTCCGGATATTTGTAGAGACGCGGGTTCATCTTGTACTGTTTGAAGATCATGTGCTGCGAGGGGGCGAGCAAGTCCTTGGGATCAGTACCCCACTCGATGAAATCCACCGGATCTTTCGATGTACCAGCAATGCGGTAGTAGATACCTGAGTCCGTGAGGAGTACGATATGGGTTCTCGCAAGGATAGCATCCATGTCCTCATCTTCGTCCACAGCTAAGAAGGAAGGCTTTATCACGCTGACGAACTTGTCACGGGGAGCTGACCAAATCTTGGGTTTCTGCATGTCTGCGAAGAGTGCTTCATCAATGGTGGTGACGTCCTGCGCCTTGATCAAATTGAGCAGACGAGTACCTTGCCCACACGGTGGCATCTTCCTCCTAAGTTTCTCTTTTGTACATATGAAGTTGTAAAATCTCTGTCCCTTGCTTCTTCCAAACAAAAAAAGATTGTGTCATAGATATCTCGGTGTTATATTTCGAACGAGTGACTGATGGGTTTAGGAACGCCCTCAAGAAAGAGGCGTCCATCTGTTGAAGCATGCCGTCGTAAAAGACTCCAGGCTTGAATTTGGTGAGGGGTTCAGCCTTGAAGAAGTCAAGATGCTTGGCTGTCACGATTGATGGCACAAGGCCGGAACGCGCGGCTGAGTCGATCTCAAACTTTGACTGCATGAAAAGTATAGTTTTCGATGACACCGACTTGCCTGTTCGGGTTCGACCGAGCCATGTGATGGCATTCTGCCGCATGGTTGGCAACATCTTGAGCTGGACTTTGTCGAGGAACCAAGGCACGAAGCTCTTGAACGTGAAGGGCCAGAACTCCAGGGTCTTGGCGTTTTGGCGGCCTTTCATGTAATTGCGCAGAGCTTCCTTGACCTTGCCTTCTGGCCAGTTTTCGAGTTTTCCACCAGGAGTGTGTACTCCATGAACTGGTTTTTGTTGTTGCTCCGAGGACCACAGTCGCGAATGAAGGCATAGCCATCTGAGCGCTGCTGTTGGTCCAGGGTGAGCTTTTTTTCGAACTTGGGTTTGATGACCCAGCGCCGCAACTGTCGACCACCCATGCGATCCAACATGTAGTTCAACCCAACCAGACCCAGCCGAGTGTTGTTACCCCACTCGAACCTCATGGGTGTGCCGTGACACATTGCAACGCAATCTTTTGATGATACTTTGTTGCGACGCAGGTAGACATGCTTCACGATGTGGACGTCATCAGCACTGGGATCAGAGTTTGCCGGGGGAGACGCGGGCAGAATGATGATCTGCACGGTGTAGGGAACGGTCGGTTCCTTGCACAAGCAGAACGGGTGAGGAAGTTGGGCATACTTGGTTTCGTAGCAAGTCTTGTAGATGGTGTCAAACATGCTGTTGGTCACTGTCAGCTTCTGGTCTAAGAGTACGTCGGCGAATTGCTCGATTTTGGTTGGATTGGACTCTAGATGGCGAATCGGCAGATCGCACACGCGAACGTCACCAGTAGCACGGTCCGACTTCAGAGGTTTGTTCTCTGGCCCTTGTAGTTTTTGGCCGGACACGTGTGCGCAGGCTTCGTCGAATGTGAGCATTCCGTCTTGGATCTCTTGGTCCGCCGCGTAACTTCCCATGATATGCGCAGGTGGGATGCTACGAAAGTTTTATCAGAGCAAGAAGCCAAAAGACCTGCCAGATGATGCAAGGCTCATAGGGAGAACAGGGACACCGAAATCACAAAATAGTCCCAATGAACCAAAAAAACCAATACAAAAAAAACAAAAAAAACAAAAAAACAATCTTCCAGGGCTCTTGGTTTGGAGGCTTTTTTGGAAGAGTCCTGGAAAATTGGTTTTTGGTTTTTTTGTTTTTTTGGTATTGGTTCTTTGGTTCCTTGGGAATTGGTTTTTTGGCTTTGCGGGAATTGGTTCTTTTTGGTTTTGTGAAATTGGTTTTGCGGGAATTGCTTTTTTTCGGTTTTGTGCAAATTCGGCGACATGTTTCGTTTTTGTAGTTGTAGCGTTTCTTGCCTCTGTGGAAAACCACATAAACGCAGCGGCTGAGTTCGCCCCCGGAACCGAAAATTGAATTCATGGACCAAAGAATGAGTGAATCGGAGACTTCTTTCGAAATTTAGTTGAAACACAAGGATTTTCGCTAGTGCATTTTGAGGCTTGTTTGCAAGGATGTTTATTTGAATTGAAAATATGGACCAAAGCGTGAGGCAGTCGGAGACTTCTTACGAAAATAGTTGAACCTCTTTACTCTCCGCTTCCTCACTTGTTTCAACATACTCTTGTATTGATGTCTACTAGCATGTCGAACCCGGGCATCGAAAAGCGACACATGAAGTCGGACGTCCGAAAACGAGGACAGTGTCGCACTTCGCGAGCCCGGATGACCCAAAATCGACGACAGTTACGCATTTCGCGAACCCTGCCGTCCAAAAGCGGCGACCGTCATGCGTTTCGCGACGTCCCAAAACGAGGACAGATTCGACAGCGACCACAGCCAGGCAATTTGCAAACCCGGGCATCGAAAGCAATGGCAGTTATGCGTTTCGCGAACCCGGACGACCAAAAGCGACGACATTTGTGCACTTCACCTCGAAGCTGGATGTCCAAGACGACAGTGTTGTCTTGAACCTGGACGTCCAAAAGCGACGACAATCAAGCGTTTCGCGATGTCCGACATCCAGCAGCGAGGACAGTTTCGCATTTTGCGATCCCGTGTGTGAGAATTTTCTTCCGACGTGGCAAGAAGGTCTTGTCGATTGGAGTATTTTTTGACAGGAGGGCGTAGTTTGCTTGTAAATAGCCAAGAAAAGTTTTTAGCTTGTGAGCGGTTTGTTTCTGATTTTCCGAAAGTTTTTGATTAGTTTTGTGTCCAAGACGTTAATTAAGTCAACAATTTTTTCGACGGGTTCTCCCACATAACTGGGGTTTAGGATTAATGTTTAACTGCCTAAAGTAGGGTTTAGCGCGCAAAGCCAAAAGCCTAAAGCCCTCAGCACCACCCTAAGAGCTTGTCGAGCTTAAGAGGAAAGTTGAGTGTTTAGCCTTCTAAGGCACCTTGTGTGCGAATCCTGGCGTCTAAGGCCTAAACCCCAAAACCCGCGTATAAACCCTCATGCCCACAAAACCCTGAACCTTTAGCCAGCAACTGCATGGACTACCTAAAGCTTAAGCTCAGTCAAAATCCTCAACCTCAAGTCAAGACCCCGAACGAAGCCCTCAGCAACCCTCCACCCGCAGGGGCTTGAAATAGCATGATCTCTGATCCCAAAGCTCTAGAAATAGCATTAGAGCACGGAGCCGGATGGCGATCAAAACCGTCCTTCACCCTGTAGAGTCCTCGTTCCCTGTCTTGTTGTGAAGGCAAGAACAGAGCACCCAAGCATACTTATTGAAATCAGACATCATCTCAATCTGCGAATCGACGACAGCAGATCAGGCTCCCCGACTACGCGTCGACGCATTGAAAACAACGAACTGCCATGATAGAACTCAGAGTAATCGCAACCGAGGCCTCAAGCTGCTTAACACGATCACTCAAGACCTGGACCATCACCTGGCGTATCCCACCCGACGAGACTAGCAAACCCACCAAACGCAAACTTCTGCACGCAACGGCTCGCTCAGGGAGACGAATGGTTGAGTATTGAGCCCAGCACTTGCGCTGATGGACTGTACCTGCCGGGGCCGTCTCTCAGAAGTGAACCGAACTACAGCACATCCAATTCGAGCGATCTGCTTCGCTTCTCGTCTAAGCTGCCAACATAGGAGCATCTGCTCGGAGCACGTCTGTAGATGAGACGAGCCTCTACGGGCGAAGTAAGAACGGAGTTTCTGCGCTCGTCTGCATTGGACTTGTAAGCCTGAAGAGAGACAACACGGAAGCCAGAACAGGCTAAGAACATGCTAGCTGCTAGCAGCTAGCAAGAGAGAATTCGCCTCGAAGCTGCAGTTGGTCTGCTGCAATCCTGGAACGAAAACTTTTGCTGACGTTGAAAGTACGCAAGGGAACCCTTTGGCCTAGCCAACAGCAGCCATCATTCAACTGAGACACAGGTGCATCTCTGTTCCACGGCCGTTGAACCTGCGAGCACCATCAGCAGAAGGCTCTTTCAAGCAAGGAGCCTGAGCTGGGTTGGCGGGCTCAGTGGGCTGCATGAGTCCAGGGAAGCGCAGGCCTAATGGCACCACTCAATGCGACTGCGGAGTCGAAAGGCCAATGCCACCTCAAACAATCAACAACGCGGATTCCATGTGGCGCAACTGGGACGCAAATCAGTTGAGCCAGCTCTGGGAGAGAGAAGATCATTCTATGAGGATTCCAGAATCATTGAATATCCAAATCTATGTGAATAAAGTAGATCAATTGCGTTGAATTCAATTGACATTCTCGACGTATCTCATGAAATTCGAATATTTTGGATTTCTTCTAGAGATAACTGACAGGTTTAGAAAACCCTCAATGTTATCAGATTTTCAATGAATTCCACTGAATCCAATATTGATAATTTGGAAAATGTCATAATCATAGATTTGGAATTTTTGGTTTTCAACTCATTCTAACTATAGTTGAAAACCTCATATTTCCAATTCCATATATCACTATGAAACCAAAATTCTATGAGGATTCCAGAACCAGTGAAAATCCAAAATCACATCAGGAATTGAATTGAATCCAATGATTAATCTTGGAATATTTCAAGGTATTCTGAAGAAAATTGAAAACGTCAGATTTCCAATCCCATAAATGAAATTCTGAGGCGTTCAATGTTTCCCAGAACCATTATGAAACCAAAATGTCATGAGGATTCCAGAATCATTGAAAGTCCACAACTATGTAACTATATGAGGAATTGAACTGAACGAAATTGAATTTCTTACTATGTTGACTACCGCAACGACGACTTTTGCTACCACTCTTTCTTTACCTATCATTGATCTGGGCATTGCTGTTACTACCATTACCCGTATTGCTATTGTGTAATATTCAAGGATTGCGGTGTTATCACAATTATTTGCACCCTACTAACGTGCTTCTCATTCTTTTACTTGTACTATTATAACCCATGACCAATATTGGTTATTAGTATTCGTGTCAATACGACGTTGGGTATTGTTCTTAATGATTTTTTGTTACTATCACGGTTAACCTGATGTTTGCTATTGCTGTTGCTATTGCTGTTGCTATTGCTATTGCTATTGCTATTGCTATTGCTATTGCTATTGCTATTGCTATTGCTATTGTTATTGCTACTAGTACTATTACTATTATTATTACTATTACTATTACTATTACT